GTGCCTACACTGCTCCAAGCTTTGCGAATACTCTCAAGCCGAACCTACGGAGTTCACCAACTCCTCTCACGCAAGACCTCCACTCTCCATAGTGGATTCTTGAAGCTCTAGACCTTGAGACACACTCTCAAGCCAAGCACAAGGTCGCCAACCCACACGATTGCACCCACATATCTAGGACAGATTTACAGCACGCAACTACTCCACTTTAACAACCAATACAAAATTTTTCAGAACTGTAACAAGTGAAATAACCCAAAAATACAGTCTCTTATCATACCAAATATATCACGATAATATCAAACTAAGCTCCACAAATTTATGCCATATGCAGAAAATTAAACCAATGACATATGTATCAAAATCTCTAAAATTAATGCACAAAGAAGCTTGGATATTACAACATTAATTTTCTAAACAATGGGTACCAAGAAATCTGATTTAAACAGAAAATATCACAATATAAATATAAAAATCAGATTCTAAATTTTAACAGTAAATCTTTATACCAATGAACAACTCAAGAGATTTAATATTCAGATTAAACAACTCAAAATCCCAAAAGCATATGAAATAATAGATCTAAAAATTTCAGATTAAAACCTTTACATCAAAGATTCACAAAAGATTTGAGTTTCTTGAGTATACTGTAAAAAAATGCCCCAAATATTTCAGTTAAAGAACCTAGAAATTTTCACTGAGAAGAGATGTACCAAAAACCCCAAAGTTTGATTCAGTTTGCTCCCGCAAGAAATAACAACTCTATGTTTACCGAGAAGGAACACTAAGAAAGAACATTACAACCAGTGTATTCTCGAATAACCAAGAAAGTGTGATTTTCCAGAACCAGCGTTTCAAGCGATTATCATTTGCGAAGACGCAGTATGCGCTATTAATTTTCGTCAAGATTGCAGGGAGAGAGAATGCGAACTTTTTTCTTTGTCATTCTGATTTTTCTCTTTATTTGTGAAAAGTAAACAAACTTATTTGTTTATGGTTTTCTTTATAGTTGTTTATTTGTTTCTGAAAAAGGAAAGAGGATTGCTCACAGTCCCCCTAAAAAGAAAAAGCCAATTGTTCCCAGACAAATCAGTCTAGAGGGACCCCTCTCTGCTGCATTCATCTGTCCCGATACTTCTAGGACGAGGCCCTAGGTAGGGCTTTGGCAGAAGAGGAAGGACTTGAAGTTCCTCCACTGATGGAGGAAAAGATTACAACAGTCCCCTCTACCTAAAAAAAAAGGAGGTAGTGGCTAGTCAAGAACCTGCTGAAGAAGCCCCACCATCTGACCCTCAGAACAAGAAGAAGAAGAAGAAGCTAACTCCCCCCACTATAACAATTCCCCTTGTAGCAAGGAGAAAATCCCAGACAAGGATTGCTGAAATTTTTGAGATGATGAGGAGGAAAATGGAGAAGCTACTGCCTGAAGAGCCATCCATTCCTCAAATTGATGTGTCCAACACCACAGAAGAGCTGAAAGCTCTAAGGAACGGAGTAGAACAGCTCTCCACTGCCTTCACTCAATTTTAAGAACAACAAAAGGCAGAAAGAGAGGAATTCTCAAACTCTGTCAATGCCAACATCAGACACATGAGTGCTGCACCTTCTGCACAACACTACAGGCTATAAGGAATGAAGTCAGAAATGCAGCTGACGCCCTGAAACAGTGCCCTCTCCATGCACAGTACCAGAGCTGAATTAAACCTTAGACACCTCCTGATCAAAGATGCTGAGGAATGGAAAGAGACCAAGGAAGCCTTCAAGGTTTTTGGAACATTCCTGGAAGAAAAGATTACCCAGCTGGAGGATAGAGTGCTGGATATGGAAGGCCAAGTGATGCATATACACAATGGAAGAATAATGATGAGGGCCACCATTGAACACCTCACTGTTGTAGTCAGTGACCTTTTGAAGGAAATTGAGAAATGGCTCCTTGAGGCTTAATTAAAAAGACTGAAGGATCAGCTAAGGAGGAGGCCATTAACACAAGAGGAAAGTGATGAAAAGAGGAATGAAGAGAGGAACAAAAGCCTGGAGAATAGGCATCCTCAGTGAAACGAGAAAGACCCTCTTATTTTGTTTTGTATTCTATTGTTTTTCTTTTTGTTTAAGTTTATTTTATTTTCACTCCCTATTGTAAAATTCTTTTTGAATAGAAAAATTCCTTTTTGTTCAATAAAAAAATTCAATCTGTTTGGAGCAAACATTTCATTTATAGTATTTGTGACTGTGGAAGTTTAAATAAATAATGGAATGGAACATAAACCCAGTGAGTAATTATTGTATTCTTACTTTGAATTCTAGAAATAGAAAAAAGAAGTGAATTTAATCTTTAGATTTTTGAAGGATGTTGATCTGTGTGAACTAGCTGGTGAGGAACGAAAAATTCCAAACACTTACTTATGAGAGCGTTCCTAAGGTGTAACCACAATGAAACTTCTAAACTTGCTTTGATACTTTAAGTACTGCAGAGGAACAAGTGAATTCCAAAGATAAGGATCATCCATCAAACACTCACCCCACCACAATCACATCCAACACAACCATCAAACACAATAATATACATACATACAAACCATCAGGTTAAACTACAGAGGTCAAGAAACAACAGCAATTGAGCAATTAGGACAAAGATAAAGAAAGTGGGAACAACCATTCAAAAGAATTCAGAGCAAAATACCAGATAAGATTCCTTCAAAGGAAGAAAAGAAGGTAGAAAAGAAAAGAAAAAGAGTTCCCCCAACAGAAGAGTCCAACTCTCAACAGAGAAGTAATGTAAACATTTGATCCAAGACCCTTCCTCACATTATACTTAACCATTCCATACTTCCCCCTCACAAAGGTCCTTTGAAATGGAAGACACCCATACCTCTTAGGAAAACAACAGATAAGTGATGGGACGAAAAACCGTGCCCATCTAAGCCCATTTTAATGGCAAAATACCATTTGTTCCCTTACCCGAAGAACAACTTTAGCACTAAAAACACATATTTTATATCTTTATCACAAAAGCACAGGTGGAAACAGAAGGTGATGTAATCTTTGGAAAATATATAAAAAGGGAACAAATTTGGAACATTTATTACACCTGCTTCACTCACTCAATCTTTCTGGCCACTTTTTAGGAAACGTTGAAAATAAGTTTCCAATTAAGCACAAGTGGGCAACACTCAACCAAGGAGAAAGGTGCACAACAGAGAATAAACAGTTCCTATTGGAAGAAAAGGAAAGCAAGGCATGGGAGGTTCAGAAGGAAAGACAAATCTCAGCAAAAACTGTCCCATCCAGCCACGTGCGCCCCATAAAGCATTGTTCAAACTGCCCCTTTCATGCAGTCAAGAAATCAACTCCAAAGAAATTGCAAGCTTTCCATTCACTCTTCTGCCTATAAATAGGACGTTCCTTCACGAAGACATCCATCGAATTCCTAAGGGATTGAATTCCTTAAGAAGAGATCACTTAGTTTATTTTCGTAGTTTTTATTTTTGTACAGTTTTAACTTTAGTTAAGTGACAATACTTCTTCTTCTTTCTGTATCACCCACTTGAGACTCCTCACGAGCAACAACAATCTTCTCCACTTTTCATTTTGTTGTAATCAATTTATTTTCATCTAAATACAAGTGTTATTTCTCTCATTTCCACTCGTTATCTCTAAACTGAATCTCGGGTCTATGGGACTTCAGTTTGGAATAATTATGTTTAAACTAGTAGCCATGGGCTAAACTATCCGTGGAACGGAAAAACTGCAAAGTTCTTAAAAAGTTATTTTCGAAGCTCTTGTATTACAGCTTTTGTGTTTCTCTAGTTAAGTGTGCTATCTTCATTGTGTATCTTCATTGTTTTATGGTTTATGAGCGGAGAGTCTGAAACAGAGTCTCCCCACTCCACTAAGATACCTGAGTTCTTCTTTGACCCTGAGCCAGAACGCACTTTACATAGAAGGAGGAGAAATCTCAGGGAAAATATTTTTGAAAACATGGCTGATCATAACAATGATGACATCCCTCATGAACAGAATTTTAGAACCCTGGCTGCTCCTTTCAGGAACAGACCAGAAAGGGGAGTAGTCCTCCCTCCTATAGCCCCCAATTTTGAATTGAAACCCATCATGTTCCACATGATAAGGGAAGATGGAGTCTTTCATGGACTCCCTGCAGAAGATCCTTACACACACCTCACAATCTTTCAAGATATCTGTGATAATTTCAAAGCTGAGGGTGTGACAGAGGAAAGTATGAGAATGAGGCTGTTTCCTCACTCCCTAGGCTCAAAAGCAAAAACATAGATGAAAACTCTCACCCCTGGATCCATACACTCTTGGGAGGAACTTTCTAACAAGTTCATAAAAAGGTTTCTCCCTGTGTCTCGACAAGCTGATGTTAGGGCAGAACTCTCTAACTTTAGAATGTTTCATAGAGAAAATCTTTATGAAGCTTGGGAGAGATATAAGGACATCATCCGAAAATGTCCAAACCATGGGTAGAAGGTTGGGGAGTTTTACAGTCTTTCTATAAAGCCATTGAACATACTTCTCAATCACATTTAGACTTTGCTGCAGGAGGATATTTTTTTACAGGTACCTTAGAATTTAGGTACGAAATCATTGAAGGCACTGCAGAAAGATGTCTCAAATGGCCACTTGAGCGGATGAGCCCAGTAAGGAAGCTAGGCATGCTCGAATTAGACAAACAAACTGCCATGGAGTCCCAACTGGCCACACTGATGAATGAGGTGAAGAACCTGAAAGCAGATCAAGAACAATCAAGGATGGAAGTCTTACAACTCACAACAACTGAGAGAGAACCATGCTCAGCCTGTGGTGACCTTCATGATTCAACAGACTGTCCATCTACTGGCTTGATGTGTTATGTAGAAAACTTCGGGAACAGAAACTCCACCCAGGCCAGAGACAATCAGAATGTAGGTGGCAACCACAATCAAAACCCTGGAGGAACCATAGTGAAGGATTAGAACCATAATCCACAATGGAGACCACCTATGAACCAAAGGCCATACAACAATCAGCAGCAAAAGTATCAACAAGGCAGAAGCAGTGGGAACGGAGCCTATGAACCACAGAGAAGAACCAATTATGCTCCATTCCAAAGAGATGACCAACCCATCAACACCCTGAAAAGCTATGACAAAGAATATGTTACCAGGAACGATGCTGTGGTCAGAAACATTGAGTCCCACCTGGGACAGATAGCTGTTAGCCTTAACACCAGGACATTTGCCAAGGGATACTGACGTCCCCTCCAAATCTCAACCAGAACCGATCCAGGCAGTCACATTAAAAGTGGGAAAACCACTACACAAGTTGCAACAACTCCCAAGAACTCAACCCTAGACACCAGGGGGAACGTGACAAACCACCACAACAGGCAGCTGTGGAGCAAAACCTAGAACTTGAGGAAGAAGTTGAAGTTGAGAAAGATCCAGTGGAGAGTAGCAAAACAAGCAGTCCACCACAAACCAAGCAAGTCCCAGTCAAAATTCCGTTCCCCCAAAGAACAAGGAAGCAACAAGATGATAAGCAGTTTGGAAAGTTTCTAGACATTCTAAAACAACTCCACATCAACATACCCGTGGTAGACGCGCTGGAACAGATGCCCAAGTATGTCAAATTCATGAAGGACGTTATCTCTAAAAAGAGAGGAATAACAGAATATGAAACTGTGAAGATGACACAAGAAAGCTGCCAATACTTGGGCAAACTCCCACCTAAGCTACGGGATCCAGGAAGTTTCACCATACCTTGTACAATAAAGAACACGTACCAAAGTAAAGCCTTGTGCGACTTAGGGGCAAGCATCAACCTCATGCCCTCCTCAGTTTTTAAACAATTGGCCACAGGACCAGCAAAACCAACCATTGTAACCTTACAGATGGAAGATAGATCCATTATCAAACCAGAAGGAAAGGTGGAAGATCTACTAGTCAAAGTAGATAAATTTATCTTTCCTGCTGACTTCATCATTTTGGACTATAAAGCAGATATAAACGTTCCCATCATCCTGGGACGACCGTTCCTAGCAACCGGAGGAGCGGTCATCAATGTGCAAGAAGGGGAACTTACCATGCGAGTACATGATGATGAAGTTAAATTCAATGTCATCAAAGCAATGAAATTTCATGATGAGGATGAAGATCTGGAAGAATGCTCTGCAATCACGTTATCAGATAACCAGATCAATATAAACCCAAAAGTCAAAGAAATGGAAGAGGGTTTGTAGAAAGAGGAGCAGAATTACTTTTTGCAAGAAAGGAAACCTGAACCTCTACAAAGAACTGAAAAGGAAAAACAAGTCAAAAAACCATCTTCAGAACAACCTCCTGACTTGGAACTTAAGCCTCTTGCCCAACACTTGAAGTATGCGTATCTGGGAAGCAATGACACCCTGCATGTCATCATCTCCTCGCTACTCACCAAGGAACAAGAAGAACTGTTGATTAGCAAGATGAAGAAATATCAAGGAGCTATTGGATGGACCATGACCTTAAAGGTATCAGTCCTTCCTTCTATATGCATAAAATATTATTGACTGACCCTAACAGATTTTCAGTAGAACACCAAAGGAGATTGAATCCAATCATGAAAGAAGTGGTTAGGAAAGAAGTAATCAAATGGTTAGATGCAGGGATCATATACCTCATCTCAGACAGTAGTTGGGTAAGTCCTATCAGTGTGTTCCCAAAAAGGGGGGCATAACTGTAGAATTAAATGAGAAAAAAGAACTGATCCCCGTCAGGAAAGTTACGGGATGGAGAATTTGCCAGGACTACAGAAAGCTCAATAATGCTATCAGAAAAGACTATTTCCACTGCCCTTTACAGACCAGATGTTAGACCACCTGGCAGGTAAGGAATACTTTTGTTTTCTTGATGGATATTATGGATATAACCAAATTGCTTTAGCACTAGAGGATCAACACAAAACCACATTCACTTGCCCCTACGGAATGTTTGCTTTCAGAAGAATTCATTTTGGATTGTGCAATGCACCAGCAACGTTCCAAAGGTGTATGTTCTCTATTTTTTCTTATTTAATAGGTGAAGGAGTGGAAGTCTTCATGGACGATTTCTCAGTTTTGGGAACGTCGTTTGATCACTGTCTGGTCAACTTAGAAGAAGTTCTTCAAAGATATATCTCTTCTAATCTGGTTCTTAACTGGGAGAAATGCCATTTCATGGTAAAAGAAGGAATTGTCTTAGGACATAAAATCTCCAGGAACGAATTAGAAGTGGACCAAGCCAAAGTAGAAGCCATAACAAAGATGCCACCTCCAGTAAGTGTTAAAACGCTGAGGTCATCTCTTGGGCATGCAGGTTTTTACAAATGATTCTTCAAAGACTTCTCTAAAATAGCTAGACCTTTGTGCCATTTGCTGAAAAAAGATGTGAAGTTTGAATTTAGCCCCGATTGTTTGAAGGCTTTCGAAGCTTTGAAAAATCAATTAGTTACTACGCCTGCTATCCAACCTCCAGACTAGAATCTACCCTTTGAATTAATGTGTGATGCAAGTGACCAAGCTATAGGGGTGGTTTTAGGTCAGAGGAAGGATAAGCTCTTTTGAAGCATATACTATGCAAGCAAAACTCTAAATGAAGCTCAAGTGAACTACACAGTCACTAAAAAAGAGCTATTAGCTGTAGTATATGCTTGCGAAAAGTTCAGGCCGTACATTCTTGGATCAAAGTGATTATCCACACTGACCATGCAGCTCTCAGATATCTATTTGCCAAGAAGCAAAACCACGGTTGATAAGATGGATATTACTGCTGCAAGAATTCAATCTGGAGATCAAAGAAAGGAGGGGGTGCGAAAATCAAATTGTTGATCACCTGTCCAGATTGGAACACATGGAAGTGGGGCTACCTATCAAGGAAACGTTCCCTGACGAACAATTATTTGTCATCAATGACAAAGACGTTGATATGCCTTGGTTTGCTGATATAGCTAACTTCCTTGCAGCAGGATTGGAACCATATGAAGCAAGCTGGACACAGAAAAAGAAATTTTATCATGATTGCAGGAGCTATCTCTGGGACGAGCCTTTATTATTCAAAAGATGTGCGGACCAAATGATAAGAAGGTGTGTCCCAGAAGAAGAGCAACCTCAAATCCTTTTTCAATGTCATTCATCCCCTTATGGAGGCCATCTGGGCGGAATCAGAACTGCGTCCAAGATACTTCAATCAGGTTTTTATTGGCCATACCTTTTTAAAGATGTTATTCAATATGCTAAACAATGTGATAAATGTCAAAGGGAGGGTAATTTAACTAAACAGAATGAAATGCCCCTTAATCCCATATTAGAAATTGAATTGTTTGATATGTGGGACATTGATTTCATGGGGCCTTTTCCCCCTTCTTGTGGGAATAAATTTATATTGATGGTTGTTGATTATGTGAGTAAGTGGGTGGAAGCTATTTCCTTACCCACTAATGATGCCAAGGTGGTTATAAAATTCTTAAAGAAAAACATCTTGACAAGATATGGGACCCCCCGCTGTATCATCAGTGATGGTGGGAAACATTTCATTAATCGCCAGTTTGAGAGACTGTTGGAAAAATATGGGGTCAAACACAAAGTGGCAACCACATATCATCCACAGACCAGAGGACTTATTGAAGTCTCTAACCGTGAGGTTAAGAGAATTCTAGAGAAGGTTGTTAATCCTTCTTGGAAAGACTGGTCTCTCAAATTAGATGAGGCATTGTGGGCTTACAGAACAGCCTACCGAACACCTTTAGGATGTTCCCCTTACAGATTGATATTTGGCAAAGCATGCCACCTCCATCTAGAGTTAGAACAAAAAGAATATTGGGCAGCTTATGTGCTCAACATGGATGAAAAAGCAGCAGGAGAGAAGAGAATAATACAGCTTGAAGAACTGAAAGAATTCAGAGGAAACACGTATGAAAATCATAAGTTGTACAAAGAAAAGATGAAAAAATGGCACGACAAAAGAATTAGGAGCAGAGAGCTCAAGGTTGGTCAGCAAGTGTTACTATTCAACTCCAGGCTTCGATTGTTCCCAAGAAAGCTCAAATCAAGATGGACTGGGCCATATCAAATCGTAAAAGACGCAGAAAACGGAGCTTTCGAAATTCAAAGAACAGAACATGGTCGCTCTTTTAAAGTTAATGGACACATGTTGAAGCTATATTCTAATGAAACATTCAATGAAAAAGAGGAAAGTATCCCTCTTTCTGACTCCAGCTGAAAAGTAAGTAACATGTCTAGCTAAGGACATTAAACTAAGCGCTGACTGGGAGGCAATCCAGTAGACACATTTGCTCCTGAACAAAGAGCAAAGTTTTGGGGTGGTTAAACTTAACCACACAGCTCCCAGAAATGGAGAGGGCATCTAATGTTCAAACTCCAAGTCTGAACAAGTAAAATACGTTCCGTTCCAGGAACGTAGTTTTGGGGTGGTCTAAAAACCACATATGTTTATTGCTTTATGATATTTCCTTTTATTTCCCTTTTCGTTCCCTAGTGTAATTTTTAATGCCTTTCTTTTTGAAATAGAAAAATCTTTTTGATCAAACTTTTTGGAGCATGCATCTCATTTATAGTACTGTGGCTGTGAAACTCTGAATAACCAATGACATGAAGCACAAAGTCACTAAGTAACCATTCTTGTTCTTACTCTGAATGCTTGACATAGGAAAGGTGAAATGAATTTAATCTTCAGATTTTTGAAGAAAGCTGATATGTGTGAACTAAAACTGGTGAGGAACGAAAAATGTCAAACACTTACTTATTAGAGCGTTCCTGAGGTGTCACTGTTGTGCAATTTGCAATCAATTAAATCACTCACACAAATATGCAAGTGCACGTGTCACAAGTAATAAAGGGATGTGTGAGTCCAAGTATCGTTCCCGCAGAGATGATTTATGAAGCAATAATTATTTAAGTAAAGAAATTATAAAAAGATTGATTTTTATGGTGGGGTTTATAAAATAAAGGACAATTAAAAATAAGAAAATAGTAAACTAAATTCAAAGATATTAAGATGATGGATGAGATATAGGTCAGATTCAATTTTCCTGATACAGCAATACCGAAACGATGCTTTAACGATGCTATATCAATGCTTAATTAGTAACCGAACACTAAAGTATGTTGGGGCTTTTGGCCAACCTAACATATATACCCAATAACTAATTCCCACATCTTTGTGGCCAAACTAATCACTGAATTGCTTAAGTTCAAGTTCTAGGCTATGTGGTGTGAATGATCTCTCTACCCACAACTTAATCAAGTTAACTTTCTTAACCTAATTAATCCACACAATTCAACAAGGGTCTGGATTCGGAAACCTCACGGCCCCAACCTCCTCAATATCATATATGTATCTCTCGACATGCACACATGAATAAGATTAAGAAAACTCGTTGAATAACTAATTAAACATTAATAAAAACAAAGTTTAGGTATACATCTCAATGTTACAGCATAGGTACTTTATCACCTAACCTATAGAGCAATTTAGCTCATAATTGAATTAAATAAAACAGAGAAAAGAAAGAAAGAACTCATTCGAAAACAGAAAAGAAGATGAAAACGAAAGTTGTAGGAAAACGTCGTCACTGCTTTGCTCTAGCAGCTCTTCCTCCTCCAAGAACCTTACTTTCTCTCTAAAACGTGGGATGGGTACTACATTCTTCCCCTCCCTTCTTTCTTGCCCTTCTGACCTCTCTCTTGCTTTTTGAATCCGTGGGGGAACTCCTCTTTAAATAGGAAAAATGGTTGGATAATTGGGCTTTAGGGTTAGGAGTGAAAATCCATGAATCTTGTTGCTGCAGCCTTATCATATCCCTAGATTCTTGGGCTGTTGGCACTTGCTTGGATAAGATCTTGATCTTCTTGATTTTCTTGTGATGTTGGCACTTGATTGGATAAGATCTTGATCTTCTTGGATTTCTTGTGCCAATGTTGTTGTTGACCGAGTAAAGGTTTGTTGTCCTTGTTCCTTGGGATTTTGGGATAAGAATATATCTTTGAAATCGTCCTTGATCCTTGCTTGCTGGTGTCTTATCCATTTGTTGGGAATTAACTAACTTTTGAATCTCAAAAGTTTGGTTGTTCCTTTGTCCACGCTGTCATGCTGTAGCGCTTGCTATATCATCATTTTGTAAGTTTCTCTGCTACAGCATTCTGACGTCAACTTTTCCTGCAAAGACAAACACTCAACAAATCATCTTTTCTTATACAAAATCAAGGAATATTATCTCATTTTCCATACTTAGTCATCTCAAAGCACTTAATCATGAATATGCAACATTTAGATCAATCATCATGCAATTAAGACACTTTATATGGAATTTATACAACAAATTCATCATAAAAATACCAAATTAACTCTCATTTAGGAGAATTAACAGTCACCACAATGGAACTTCTAAACTTGCCTTGATACTGTAAGTACTGCTGAAGGATAAGTGAATTTCACCAACAAGGATCGAACCACCAAACACTAACCCCCTCACAATCATCCAAACACTTCTGTTCCCATTAACACCATAGCATTACATCACACACTTACACTCATTCCCAGGTCAACAAAAGGAGCAAGGAACAAATCCGAAATGAGCTCAAAGGACAAAAAGAAAGAAAACAAAGAAAAATGGGGACATCCATTCAAAAGAATTTAGAAGAAAATACCAGAAAAGCTTCCTCCAAAGGAAGGAAAGAAGGTACAAAAGACAAGGTGTCCCCTCAAACAGAATAGTCCAGCTCTGAAAATAGAAAAACTGAAACACGTTCCTTGACTCAAAACTTGTGACCATCCCATCTTTAAAACCATTCCATCAGTCCTTTTGAAAAAATCCTTGACATGGAAGACACCTGCACTTCTTAGGAAAGCAGCAGATAAGCAAGTTTGAAGAATTACATCCAGGAATGGAGAGAGAAACACCAACCTTGAGTGATAGTGAAGCAGAAGATCAGAAGTCATCGCATACCTGGGAGAAAATTCTTTCTACTTATTAACTTTGAAAAGTAGTTCAATCTTTGAAAATGTTTATGATTACTTGCTGGCTCAAGTTTCTGAAGTTGAGTTATTCTTTGAAATTGAGCAGCCTAAGCCACTATTTCTGAGTTGTTTGAGGACAACCAATAGTTTAGTTTTTTGGGTGTTTGATGGGACAAAAATCCGTGCCCATCTAAGCCCATTTTGATGGCAAAATACCATCTGTTCCCTCACCTGATGAGCAACTTTAGTACTAAAAACACATATTTTATATCTTTATCACAAAAGCACAGGTGGGAACGGAAGATGAACTAATCTTTGGAAAATATATAAAAAGGGAACGAATTTGGAACTTTAT